ACGGATTACTTTATTTAAAGGTAGTCTCCATGAACCTTGAGACATTTATCCCATTGACAAATGAGCCGCGTGATCCCCGTCTCATAAAACTCCTTGGGCTGTCAACTCAAAACGTCTGTAACCGACTCCTTCACGGCGTCGTCCGACACGAACCTGGTACCCTTGAGATGTTTTTTCAGTTTCCCGAAAATGTGAAAGTCGCATGGCGACAAATCTGGGCTGTATGGAGGATGTTGCAGCGTGTCCCACTTGAACTTTGCCAGTTGTGTCTTAACCACATCAGCGACGTGGGGACGAGCATTGTCGTGTAGCAAGATCACACCATTCGTCAATCTTCCAGGTCGTTTGTTCTTGATTGCGACACGCAGCCGATCCAGCGTTGCACAATATCGCGAACTATTGATAGTCTCTCCACGTTTAGCAAATTCAATCAGTAATGGCCCCTGACGATCGAAAAAAAAAGTCAATAGCACCTTTCCCGAGGAAATGACAGCCTTTGCTTTCTTCGGGGGTGGTGAATTCAAATGTTTCCACTGTAAGCTTTGCCGGCGTGTTTCAGGTTCGTAGTGGTGGCACCATGATTCGTCTCCGGTCACAATTGCAGACAAGAAGTCGTCACCCTCATTGTGATACCGGATGAGATGAGTCAAAGCAGCGCCGAACCTCTCCGTCTTCTGGCGGTCGTTCAAAATCTTGGGCATCCATTGAGCACACAAAAGCCGATAACCGAGATGATCATGAATTATGGTGTGAACCGAACCGTGACTGATGTTCACACGCTCTGCCAGTTCATCGATGCTTATCCTCCGTTCTTGTCTAATCAGCTCATCAACCTGTGCAATTGTGTCGGGGGTGATTGCAAGGTGGCTTTGGCCCGGTCTTGGATCGTCTTTGCAACTTTCACGTCCTTCTCTGAACCGTTTGCTCCAACGCTTCACAGTGGCCAATGCGATGCAATGTTCACCGTACACAGCAGTCATACGGCGACTAATTTCATGTTGGGAAACACCTTCAGCTGTCAAAAACCTGACCACACCACGCTGTTCCTCTTTTGGAGCGTCCATTATGTCACGCTACCGTCTTCAACCCAGTGTAAGAGCGCCTTAAAGAACTTTAACCTCACACTTTCGCGCCACTTTCGTAAATGAAGGCTGTCTCTGTGCTACGCGCATGCGCCGCAGATGATAGACCGAACCATTCTTGCTGAGGAGGGGTTGGCTCACTTTCATTTGACTCGCCCTTATAAGATCCAGAATAAAATAGTAATTTAGTCACTATTAATTTCCCATTGCAATACATAAATGTTTGCCTTGATCATTAACAAAAATATATTTTGTACTTATAAAAAAGCTTACTGTAAGATTATTCAAATAGAGCTGATTGCCACATGAACTGATAACTTCAAATTGGGGTGAGGTGCCATGTCTGTGTATTTGCCATAAACCAGAACCAGCGCTTCTCCCTTATATTACACGTTATTTGGATACCTAAATTACCTCATAATAAATTAGCTCTACCTTTGAATACAGCCCTAGCATCAAGATAAGAAGAATGAATGTCTCATGATGTTCTCAAAACTGGAAGAATGAACTTGGATAAGATTGAATATGCCTGGAGCCATTGAACACAATAGTAAAGTCTTCATGAGGTGTTCATGGAACCTGCATTACTTTATAGAATGATGGCATGGAGAATAAACCCTTCAATGTGGATCACCAAAGTGTAACAGATATGCCTCAGCTGAGTCAGTCCCTTATCAGTAATGAGGAAGTGCATGGTTTGTTGGCAAGTTGATAATGATCGATACCAGACAGGACCTATGTGGCAGAATTATTATATTAAGTCTATGTTTTGCAATATGAAAGAATGTCAGGATATGAGAAAAACTGCATCATAATAGGTTTCACATCATTTGACAAATGCAGAAATGGCTACACTGAGAGCTTCTTGCAGTACTATAAGTATGAAAGTGAGGGTTTTTTTTTAATGTCATATCATTACATTAGATGGCTTGGTTTGGTTTATTTGATTATGGCAAACCACTCAAGGGCTACCTGACTAAGGGAAGCAATGCCTTTGTGAGGGGCTTTCTAAGGGAACCTGATTTATATCCATATTACACATGGAGTAAACCATAAAAGTGGTCATGCAGCCAGGTCATTTGCCTTGAATCAAACCCACGTCAAACTACCAGTATTCAACAGCTTTACTAATTGCTTACTCTGTTAGTGTTAGATCCGTTCTACTGCCATGCACATGTCGTATGAGACATGCTCCAGATCATATATAAGACGAAAATTAAATGCTAAATTGACAAATCGCATCAAGAAAAGCCAACACAGAAATCCAAACTTTATTAGAACCTCAGCAATGTGAATATTATGGTGAATCTCATGTTTGACTGATGATGTTATCCTAAGGTAAATTACCTCAAAGACAGATTCTCAATGCACGGCATTACTGTTAATTTTTAGAACATAACTTGCAACCAGCATTACTGAAAAAGCAATAACAATTTATTTAGAAACTTTTCATCATTTTGTATGGCAGTATTCTGCCACATATATTACAGTCTGTGGCTAATTTATCAGTGCACTAGCAATGAATTGCACACAATATTGATAACCATGTTGAAGAGCTGGAAATGTATGGTGCTGGTCTGGTATAAACTGGAAGGCATATCCTTTGTATTAGTTGCAAATTCACAAAAGCCACTGTTAAAAACATACCTTTTAATGCTGATTCAGAAGTCAAACAACAAAAATCAGCGTTAATTCACAAAATTTTCACAGGACTAGTTTCGATGGTTTTACCGAACCATCATCTTCAGCTGCAAAACCGCAAATGAACAAGATAGGAAATAATGTTTAGATAAGATAAGAAAGCCTGGACAAGAATAAGCAAGTGGCGCCATCTGTTGGCGAAACCAGAACTAAAACATAATTTCTCTAAAAGCCGAAGGCAAATTTGGATTGGAATTAGGATCGTTAACTAGAACAGAAAGATTTTTATGAATGTGAAATGCCTCTAGAAATCCAGTTCTCCAATGGAAGATGTTTTTTGAATAATTTTGGCAGCAGAAAAATTGAAAGTGTGATTTTCGGACCAACAATGTTGAGCAACAGAAGACTTCTGTGTTTCCTTTTTTCTAACATATGCCTCATGTTCTTTGACGCGAAATTTTAAGGCTCTCTTAGTTTGGCCAATGTAAATTAAACCACACTGGCAAGGAATCCTATAAATACCCCAGGAATTCATATCCGGAATGGGGTCCTTGAGTATAGAAGTTGGAATTTTATTGATGGGAGAATAAACAACCCGAAAGTTAAATTTCTGCAAAATATGTGCAACTTTATAGCTAATTGATGGAAAGAAGGGAATGACAACAGAATTTTTATAATCTCCTAAAATAAGAGTGTGGCTTTTAGTGTGTTGAGATGAGAATTTTTTAACTGCTTGATTAATAATGTTGGGTGAAAAGCCCCTGTCAATAGCTATTGCTTTTAAATAATTTAGTTCTTCATCAAGGGCTAGTTTGGAGGAGCAAACTTGAAGAGCACGGAAAACATAGGAATAAAATGAAGCTAACTTTTGTTTAGTCGGATGACATGATTTAAAGTGTGGTGGAAGGCAAACCGATGAAGGTTTACGGTAAACTGTAGTACTGAAGTTGGATGTGTTACGTGTGACCAGAATGTCGAGAAACGGAAGAGAATTGCAAGTCTCAAGTTCAAAAGTGAACTGAATAGCAGGATCAATAGAATTCATTGTTGAAAGAACTTTATTTAAATCATCTTTATTACCTTCAAACAGGGTAAAAGTATCGTCTACGTAGCGGAACCATGCCGGGAAGTTTAAAGTTTCAAACAATTTTGATTCATAATAATGCATGTAGATATCAGCCAGGATGGGACTGAGGGGGCTTCCCATGGCTAATCCCTCAGTTTGCTTGTAATATTTATTTTGGAAAACAAAATGTGTTTGTTTCAAACAGAGTTGAGTGAGAGAAATTAGCTCATCAATTTCGATGCAAGAGAAATGAAATTCGCGAAGTCTGGTTTCTAGACATCTTAATGCACCCTCCACTGGGACATTGGTGAATAATGATTTTACATCAAAAGAAACCATGAGTAAATTAAATGTTTTAACCTTTTTTACATCTTTGAATTTTTTGGGTTGTTATTGTCTATAGATAAAATTCCAAACTTCTATACTCAAGGACCCCAATTCCGGATATGAATTTTTATTTATAGGATTCCTTGCGAGTGCGGTTTAATTTACATTGGCCAAATAAGAGAGCCTTTAAAATTTCGCGTCAAAAGAACATGAGGCATATGTTAGAAAAAAGGAAACACAGAAGTCTTCTGTTGCTCAACATTGTTGGTCCGAAAAGAACACTTTCAAAGGTTTTCTGCTGCCAAAATTATTCAAAAAACATCTTCCATTGGAGAAATGGATTTTCTAGAGCATTTCACATTCATAAAAATCTTTCTGTTCTAGTTAACGATCCTAATTCCAATCCAAATTTGCCTTCGGCTTTTAGAGAAATTATGTTTTAGTTCTGGTTTCGCCAACAGATGGCGCCACTTGCTTATTCTTGTCCAGGTTTTTTATCTTATCTAAACATTATTTCCTATCTTGTTCTTTGAGGTTTTGCAAGCTGAAGATGATGGTTCGGTAAAAACCATCGAAACTGGAAGTCCTGTGAAAAAGTTTTGTGAATTAACTGCTGATTTTGGTTGTTTGACTTCTGAATCAGTATTTATTCGGCGTTTTATTGTGTCTTAATTATACCTTTTAATACCATAATTTTTAATAATCATACAATTCCTCATTTTACACATTTCATTCGTTAAATTTTGCTCAAAATAGCTGAAGTGATCAAGTCACTTCTGCCAAAATATTTCTTTGAATTGCATATTTTAGCACATGCAATTTACTTGCATGTTTCTCTGTGCTTTCAGTTTGTCTTGAGAAAAGCACAGAGATACAGGAAAATTACCTTCAGAATTTCTTGTACTGCAGTCTTGAAAAGATTTCCGGATCTTTTGGATGTATTTTCAAGGTAATTATCTTCAAAAGTCACAATTCGTTCACATTCAAGCTAGAAAAAAATTTGAATACTGTAGCTTTCATAAGTTCAGAAAATAAAAATTTTAAAAAAATTATCCAAAAAGGATTAATTACTCCAAAACACTAAACTATTCGGCAGAAAAATTACGTAATTAATTTATAAATGAAAAATATTAAATTGTGGAAATGACAATATTAAAAAATTTATATATAAATGGATGCTTTAGTAATGAAAAAATGTCCTAAAATTACTAATTCAGAAGTCAAACAACAAAAATCAGCGTTATACCTACAAAATTTTCACAGGACTAGTTTCGATGGTTTTACCGAACCATCATCTTCAGCTGCAAAACCGCAAATGAACAAGATAGGAAATAATGATTAGGTAAGATAAGAAACCCTGGACAAGAATAAGCAAGTGGCGCCATCTGTTGGCGAAACCAGAACTAAAACATAATTTCTCTAAAAGCCGAAGGCAAATTTGGATTGGAATTAGGATCGTTAACTAGAACAGAAAGATTTTTATGAATGTGAAATGCCTCTAGAAAATCCAGTTCTCCAATGGAAGATGTTTTTTGAATAATTTTGGCAGCAGAAAAATTGAAAGTGTGATTTTCGGACCAACAATGTTGAGCAACAGAAGACTTCTGTGTTTCCTTTTTTCTAACATATGCCTCATGTTCTTTGACGCGAAATTTTAAGGCTCTCTTAGTTTGGCCAATGTAAATTAAACCACACTGGCAAGGAATCCTATAAATACCCCAGGAATTCATATCCGGAATGGGGTCCTTGAGTATAGAAGTTGGAATTTTATTGATGGGAGAATAAACAACCCGAAAGTTAAATTTCTGCAAAATATGTGCAACTTTATAGCTAATTGATGGAAAGAAGGGAATGACAACAGAATTTTTATAATCTCCTAAAATAAGAGTGTGGCTTTTAGTGTGTTGAGATTAGTGTGTTTTAGTTGTTTCACCCAACATTATTAATCAAGCAGTTAAAAAATTCTCATCTCAACACACTAAAAGCCACACTCTTATTTTAGGAGATTATAAAAATTCTGTTGTCATTCCCTTCTTTCCATCAATTAGCTATAAAGTTGCACATATTTTGCAGAAATTTAACTTTCGGGTTGTTTATTCTCCCATCAATAAAATTCCAACTTCTATACTCAAGGACCCCATTCCGGATATGAATTCCTGGGGTATTTATAGGATTCCTTGCCAGTGTGGTTTAATTTACATTGGCCAAACTAAGAGAGCCTTAAAATTTCGCGTCAAAGAACATGAGGCATATGTTAGAAAAAAGGAAACACAGAAGTCTTCTGTTGCTCAACATTGTTGGTCCGAAAATCACATTTTCAATTTTTCTGCTGCCAAAATTATTCAAAAAACATCTTCCATTGGAGAACTGGATTTTCTAGAGGCATTTCACATTCAAAAAAATCTTTCTGTTCTAGTTAACGATCCTAATTCCAATCCAAATTTGCCTTCGGCTTTTAGAGAAATTATGTTTTAGTTCTGGTTTCGCCAACAGATGGCGCCACTTGCTTATTCTTGTCCAGGGTTTCTTATCTTATCTAATCATTATTTCCTATCTTGTTCATTTGCGGTTTTGCAGCTGAAGATGATGGTTCGGTAAAACCATCGAAACTAGTCCTGTGAAAATTTTGTAGGTATAACGCTGATTTTTGTTTGACTTCTGAATTAGTATTTATTCGGCGTGTTATTGTGTCTTAATTATAGAAGTCCTAAAATTAGTTAAGAAGTAATCAGTTCATTAATACAGATTGTTTCAAAAACATTTTTCAACAAAAATCCATAGCCGAGTTTAACCCTCTGAGCGGCCAGGGTTTTCGCTAAGAAAGCGCAAATTTCCCAAATCTACTATGAGAACAATTTTTTTTTTATTTATTTTTTTTTTATTTTTATTTTTATTTTTAATTTTAATGTAAAAACTCTCCTAGTATTTCATACCTGGATTTGTTTTCTTTTGATATATTGCCTTAATTTCTTTGACATATCTTTCTTTTAATATGCACATATATATATATACATTCTTACAGATATCACAAAAATTATTCTAAGCTGTATATATACAGACTTGCTGCTTAGAGGGTTAAGAAGCAAATCAAATACGATGGATTTTTAGACTCGTAACAGTTTTGTTTCCATAATGCTTTTCAAAAAGAAAAAAATATATATATATACAGTTTTAAATTTTCATAATGTGGTCTGTACAAAGACAGTTCTAATTAGCAAGTTATTTCTAATTTAACTAATGCTTATTTAAGGAGAGAACCAGTTCTGTAATGCACAAAAGTGATCTAAAAAAATCAATTTGTCAACTTTCATCAACAAATTTTCTTAATGATGCAAATACCACCTTAATGAATGGAAGTTTATAAAAACAGAGACTAAAGTAAGTAATTACAAAAATTTAATTGATAAAAGCTGTTTAAATACAGATCTTAATGAGTAGACTCAATAAAAACCATCACCGTTAAAAGAGTTATAACCTACTTTGTTTATGCAAGTTTAAACTTAATGATATTATTCAGGTTCACCCCCCCCCTCAACATAATGGTCTTTAATACCATTTAGAACTAGTTTCTTCATTTTTAATGATGTTTATTCTTCTATTACTGACAGTGTGTTCTTTGAATATTGATATAATTTATAAAACAAATAACATAAAATATACCATCTTTAAAAATTTACAATTGTTCTTCAATTTAATCAAGATAAATCACTTTTTCATAGTTGTTTCAAATTCTTCTTCACATGATTCTACAAAATATGAGTTAAGACTAATACAGTCCACTTGGTCAAAGGTATCACTGGACAGATTTTTCGATTTATCAGTTCAGTTTCAACTTTAGGTGGGTTTCCCTTCATTAAACTGGACTTTGTTAGAAGCAGTTGCTCTGTGGGATTTCCATTGACTCACATTTTTTAGGAGTCTTTGCAGGTTTTTTGGGGGATATCCAGACATTCTTTTTGGTTGGCTCCTCATTGGTACGTGGATTTTTGGGTTTCTTTGTAAGTTGAGTCAAAGGAAAAGATGAAGATCGTCAAAACATATGCCAAAACTTTGCTAATTATTGTAGATTTCTGCATGTTCTTCATAAATCTTTTAAATGCATATTCACATGTTTTTTCTAAATTCTTCCAGCTTAGCTGCTTTCGATAGTTCAGGTTTTTCATCACATGGATTCTCGTTCATTCTTTTTCTGATTCTCTTTTCGTTCTCAGTGTTGAAGTTGGTTTTCTTATAGTCCTTAGCCATTAAAGCCTTTTTTGCTTGCTGTGAGCATATGGATAAATCAGTATCAGTAATGTTGCTATAATCATCCTATTGCCTCATCCTAATCTTTATATTAAACTGCTTGGAAATACATGCATATTGTCAATATAACTTTTCTGTTAATTATTGCATGTACAAATAAGTGTCCATTGTTTTTTTTATCAAAAATTGGGTCTTTATTGTGAAAGAACAATTCATTACGTTTTATTCACAGTATTGTCCATCGCTAGCCACTACTTTTCCATCTTTTTGGCAGCATGCATATACCGCGTCGGAAGAACGCTTCATCTTTTGAAGCTATCAACAAGTCAGTCCAATTTTTGATATCTTCATATGATGTGAGATGCTGCTCAGACAGGCATGCATCATCAAACGAAACAAGTAATAATCACAAAGAACAATGTCTGGTGAATACGATGGGAGTGGGGAAAACATCTCATTTCAAGTAGGTTTTGACAGATGCCGTAACATGTGGAGGAGTGTTATTATGCAGAATAATTTTGCCATGTCTAGAGTAGGAGTGGGCAGATTTTTCTTTGAAAGCACAGCTCAGTCTCATCACTTGCGTTCAGTAGAGTGCCCCAGTAATGGTTTGAGTAACTCATAATACATGACACCAAGTTAATCCACCATATAAACGATATGATTTTTTCCCCATGAATATTAGGCTTGACTGTTGATGCTGAAGCATGGTCAGGTGGTTCCTATGATTTGGGTTATCGAAGTGGATGCATTTTTCATCACCAATGACTATACAATGAAAAAAAAAAATAAAAAACTTTCATATATACCTAGCAAGCAACATTCTGCCATACAGTTTGCCAAACAGTTTTTTACCTACAAATACTGGAAATGTTTATATATGTTACACTTCATCAATTTTCTGCTGCATAATTTCTATAATAATACAAGACAAAAGTAATAAACTGCTTTTTCAATTCTTACTTTATGTGCATTATGTTTAGCATTTTTGTAAACAGGAACCTAAAATTCAAGCTTTTTTAATAATGTCTATCTTATGCTAAAGTTATATGCCAAAAATCTGCACTTGAAAGATTAATGTGCATTTTTAGTAAAATTTATTCTGAGCTAGTAGTTTAGAGGGTGAGAGTGAACAGGGCCTGCAAATGGTTAGATGTACATCCTCATCCTGAGTAGAACATAGGCAAATTGCCCATAGCCTTTTATAGCAAGTCTGGGGTTCCTACAGGGAAAAATTCTGGGCAATAAGGAAGTGAGATTGGTTGAGTGGCAAATATCTCCGCATAAATACAACTGGAATTTGAAACAGTCAACATTTCAGATACAGTCATTCTTGAATGACTCCGTCTGGTTATCAAAAAGATTAAAATTATTCTTCTGTAAATCTGATAAGGATTTCTGTAGCTCTGAATATGAAATGTTTCATCTTTAGAGGTCAGTTTTAATTTTGTCAGCAGGAACTGTTGCGGAGAGTCCCTTAATAAAGGCATTTGGTAGATTTTCCATTACCTGACAAGCATGTATGAAACAGGAATCCATTATTTCTAAAGTGCATAGCAATAGTTTGGTAATCACCATTGATCTTCATATTAATCATGATAAACCCTTTTGTGCAGTTCTTTCAAATTCTTCTTTGTATGATTCTACAAAGCATCATTTAAGGCTGATACAGTCCACTTGTTTGGAGGTATCATTGGGGAGATCTTTTGTTTTCTCAGTTCAGTTTCAACATTAGCAGGGTTT